GTATATATATATGTATATATATATGTATATATATATGTATATATATATGTATATATATATGTATATATATATATACCAGGCCGAGGACCCAGCCAGGGGAGGGGAAGGCAGACCTGGCTAGAACCTCCATACACCAAGTTTACACAAAGATTCCCTCTTACGGCCTTCTGGAAAAAATAGGCAGAATCACACTACCTAAATAAGAAGCAAATCCTTTGCAAAAATACCTTAGATGTTGAGAACAGCTTCACTCTGAGCCCTGCAGAAGTGCAGACCTACCCACTTACTCCTCCCTCCCTCCCCACCACAGCCCACCATCTCCTGGTACAGACTCCCAAGAAGGGTCCTGATGTTTAAACTCAGAACATTGTCCCCCTCCATGGAGCTTTCTGGGATTTCCTCAGTTCCCCAAACTGTAATCCCAGAGATTTTTTTTTTCTATCAGGGAGGTGAAAGGACCTAAGAACATAGAGTATTCGCTTTGAAACCAGTCTGACCGAAGCTCAACTGCAGCCTTACTGGAGAAGCTGTAAAATCTCTCAGGTTCAGTTTTCCCATCTGTAAAATGGGATGATAACAAAAGGTTACTAGGCAGTTCTAAGGTGATAGTATATATAAAGAGTCAGTTTCTGCCAATGAAAAGGTGGCTGTTACTGTTATCCACACCTGTATAGTAACAGAACACCACTACCGTGCTGGGGCTCCCCAAGATCCCTAGAATGGATGAGTCACTAAGACAAGTCTAGGCTTCACCATTCTACACAACAGTAACTTTATCTTTTCATTCTTAACAACAACAACAACAACAAAAATCTACAAGTGCAAAAATCTCAGAAAGAACATTGATTCTAGGAGAGGGTGACAATCCCTGAGCTCTAACATGGCCCAGAAAAACCAGCCACGTCTAAGACCCACAGGACCCTGTTGCCAGCTAGCTTCACTGCAGTATTTCAAATTATAGTCTCATCTGGAAGAAATAACTAGGGACCTACCAGTCTTCTCTCCTGCCTTCCATCATCAAACTACTCCAAAAATAAGTAGTTACCCCCTTTCCTTAAACTTCTCCACAATAGGCTTTGCCCAGGTACAAGACACAGATTTCTGTTCCACTGACTGTCAAGGAGTATCTGCTTGTTGTTGCCAGGTGCTGTCACATCCACGACAACTCACACTGACTTTGTGAACGACAGATCAACCTTGCCATGGCCTATGCCATCCACACAATCTCTAATATACCTGGGTCCATTGTTACAATCAAATCACTGTATCAGTGCACCCTGTAGAGAGACCTCCTCTCTTTCTCTGACCCCTGACCTTTCCTAGCTTGGTGTCTTTTTCCAAGGACTGGTCCCCCCTGACAACATGCCCAAAGTATGTGAGAGGAGGTGACAGCTTCCTTGGCTCTACCTCGCAGGTAGGCTTGTTTGTTCTTCTCGAAGTCCACGGGGATAGTCAGTCCACTTCAACATCACAACTCAAAGCACCAATTCATCTTCTGTCATCTTAATTCATTGCCCAGCTTTCATATGCATATGAAACTACTGAAAATACCATGGCTTGGATCAGGGGCACCTTTGACTTGAAAGTGACTAAACTCAGTACCTGCTAGTAGTACTGGCTTAAAAGGGATTCTGAGGTCTCACCTTGACTCAGCAGGAAAGAGCACAGAGATCAATTAGTAATGTCTGCATGCATTCCAAAAATTTGTTATCTCCGCTCTCACATCTCACTTAACAAAAGCTCCCAGAAAACAGAAGCTGGTCTTTATTAAACTCTGTGTCATGTGCTGTGTTCAGCATACCACGTAAGCCCAGGACAGGAATTCAGCAAATGTTTGTTCCTGGATTCCTTATATGTTGAAAGTTTTCACTGGTGTCTAGCTGAAATTCTTGCTTCAGCAGAGGTCTGTTTTTGGTGGAACACTACTGTGGGCCTATCCAAGTTTCTCAGGCGTGTTTGTACTCACCCAGCCCCTGACCCCTTTGCCCATCACCCTGGAGTCTGAGAGAAGATGAATTCTTACCTGGGAGGTGGAGTGGGGGGTGCCAGAGGGTAAGGCCTGTCGAACATATGCATGTGGTAGGCTGGGGGGGAGTACACCGGCGGGGGCTCCTCATCAGAGCTATCAGGTTCTAAAGTCCTTTCCAAGATCTAAATCAGAGACAAGAGAAAAAGAAATATTAACAGTACTTCCTTGGATTTAAACAACATTCAGATAATACCAAGTATGGGCATGGTCATGCAGCCAGGAAACTCCTGCACACTGGATGGTGGGAGTGTAAGCCGATGCAAGCATCACTCTGGAAAAACTTAGCTAAAGGGAAACACATGGTACCTCAGAGCCTCGCTCCCGACCTACTCAGCAGACATGAGAGCACATGTCCCCGAAGAATGCTCACGGACGGCATTACCCACCTAAGAAAGGCTCAACACAGGCAAAACAGATGCACATTCTGAACTGAGAGCAGGGGAGCCTTGAGGGGTGTGGGGCGTAAGGACAGGAAGAGGCTGCCTTTGAGCTAAATGCAGGTGACCTGGGTGGGATTACTGTGTGACACTCACCAAGCAGTGAGAGCATGATCCCTTTACTCATCTGCGTGTATGTGATTTTGTTCATAAATAACTCAGTGTTTTTAAAGAAGTGTAATTCAAATCTTCTCTCAAAGTACTTCCACATATATCATCTCACCTCTCAGCAAGGCAGAATAGAAATCATTACACTCATTTTACACATTCTGCTTTTAAACTGGGGCTTCAACTTGGACCACTGTCTTCTGACTCCCCATTGAAGGTCCCTCCTGTAGGCATGTCCTGCAGGTGCCAAGGAAGCTGTCCAGGATGTCTGTGCTCCTTCCCCACTCTCTCCATCCAGGAGTCAGGAAGGGGGTGGTGGTGTGGAAAGGCCACATGCTGGGCAAAGTTCTGCTACCTGGACCCTTTCCAGAGGTCCACAGAAGAGCCTGGGGCCAGGAACAGCCCTCCACCAGGAGACCTCCCCATCACACACCCCAAGCAGCCTCTTGCTCCCCTCTCCACTTTGTGACAATCTCCTCCAAAACCACAGGACACAACTGGGCCCTCCAAGGGTCTCCAAGAAGCAAAGGGCTCAGAGGCTGCGAATAAATCCTAGAGTCACCAGCCCCCAAGTTTGAATTTCCAGTGAGTTTGCAGAAGCCGTTGCTGAAGCTGCCTAGGCAAGCCTGGGCTGGCATAGGCTACACCAGCACACCTCTGGCCTGGGCTCAGCCATGCTGAGGCACACGGGGAGTCTTGGGGACACATTAGAGAGAGTGGGTGAGTGTTCAGGAGCACAATCACACATGCATGCATACACGCGCGGGCGCGCGCACACACACTCACACACACTCTCTCTCCACCAGGCCAGCCCAAGGAGGCCTCCTGCCCTGGAATGGACAAATGCTCCTTCCTTTGAGGCGGAAAGTATTTAAACAGATGCTTTTGCAGGGAAAGAAGAATGGAGCTGTTCGCAGGCCACTGCTCTGCGCACTCCAGATTTCTATAAGAGGAAATCCAGGCACACAGACTGGGCTGGGAGCACTGTTCCTGTGCAGTGACATGTCTCTGGTGCCCGCAGTGCTAGCACAACGGAGGGGCCCACACTCGCCCTTTTCTGGCCCCCTCAGCTCTGTAGGAAGAGTTCCAGGCTGTGGCCTGGAGGCAGGACCCCCTCCTCTCCGGTGGCCAGCCTAGCTTCTTCCACTGAGGCTGGTCTGAGGGAGATGGGTGAGGAGTAGAGAAAAGTGCAAGAGGTCTGGTTTCTAAAAGAAAGCCAATGAAGGGTTTCTGAACCCTGCTCCTTCCATGGCCTTCTGAGCGGGCACCCTCTCCTCTCAGCTGCTCCTGTTCATCTGGGAAGCAGACCTTGAGTGGAGGCTCCAGGACAAGAATGGGAAACGCCAGGACAGCAGGCAGTAGCCAGTCATGCTCTGGAAAGGAAGGCTGATCCCACATCTCTGGGGACAGTAACCCCAGCCCCCTCACGGCTCTTGCCTGTGCCCACCCCTCCCCTCCACCCTGACCAGCCACAGTGCAGTGGTTCTTCTGTCTCTAAAGGCGCTGAGGTGTTTGACCCTGCAGCCTCCTGGCTTAACTCAGCATGGGTGATGGATGCCTGCCAGGTGCTCTGTTGGGCAGGGTCTGGGCCATTTATCTGACAGGTGGTATTCTTCCACGATGAGGATACCCCTCGGGCCAGCCCACCATCCATCAGCTCCCAGAGAGGGGGCTTTTTCCAGTCAGCAGTTATTGTCATTCCAGCTGCTGCTCATAAATTTTCTGAAGCGCTTTCCGCTGGCTCAGGAACTGCCAGCCGTGGGGCTCAGCCAGAGCTCCAAAGGTGGGGGGCTGGGACCCAGCCAAGGGTGGAGAGGGGTGCAACCCAGAAAGCAAGACTCATAGTAAGATGGAAGCGCACACATAGCAGGCCTTCCTGGGGACTGATGAACCCTGGAGGGACTGCAGGTGCCACAGAGGAGGGAATATCACCCAACCTGTCAGAACAAACGGAGGCTTCAGGAGAGGCTGAGGTTCCAAAGACCTGTATTTGTCTGCACACACACAGCACTCACTCCAACCCCTCCTTTCCATATTGTGGAGCTGGGTTTTCCAATACTCCTTCCCCTGGGCTGATGCTAGCAGGTCAAAGAAGGGGCCTCCGCAGAGAAAGAGACAGTAGGTAGCTTGTAAAATCAGCAGCAACATTCATCCCTTGAATCAACAACCCCTGACTGCTTCCTAGGTACCAGAACCACTCCAAGTGCTACAAGCAACTCTGGGTGAACCCAGCAGCTGCCTGCATAGAGCTCTGCCTCTACCACTTCTACAGAGAGAAGCCCCAGCAACACCTCCCTCTGGGGGGAGAGCAGGATGGCTCACTGACCAGCAGGGACTGTCTGCCTGTGTTGAAGACTCATTTTTCCCCACCGCAAACAAGGCCAATCAATAAAAGCAGCTCGCAAATTTCGTGGGAATTGTTATGTGCCATCAAGTCACTTGTGACTCCTAGCGACCCTATGTACAACAGCTCTGAACCCTGCTCCATCTTGAGCCAACTTCATTGTCCCTGACACACCTACTCCCATTACCCTGGTCAATCCATTTCATCCAGAGTTTTCCTCTCTTGGCGGTGTCCCTTCCCCCTTCCAAGCATAATGTGCCTCTCCAAGGACTGGTCTTTCCTTGAAACATGCCCAAAGTATGTCCAAATCCTTGCCTCCAGGAAGCAGCCTGGGTACACCTTCTCCAAGTCGGACCTGTTTGTTTTTCTAGCAGTCCATGGTATATTCAATACAATTCTCCAGTACCACAACTCAAAAGCATTAATTCTTCTGTCATCCTTAGTCACTGGCCAGCTCTCTGATGCACGGCAAGTAACTGCAAAGACCATGGCCCAAATCAGGTGCAACTTAAGTCTCTAGAATGACATCATTGCTCATCAGTATTCTGGAGAGGTCCCTGACAGCTGATTTTTCCCAATGCAATTCATCTTTTGATTTCCTGGCTGCTAGTATCGAGAGTGTTGATTGTGGAGCCAAGCAAGCTGAATTAGATAATACATTTCAAGCATTTAGGATTGAACTGGCCACTGGCTGGGACTCAAAGAACAGAGTTACTCCCACCTGCAACTTGTCTGGGCTGCAATTCTAAGCACGCCTACAGCCTGTGACCCCTCGATCTGTGCCCTCCACATCAAGCACTGTAGGCACTGTGGGTAGGTTGACTTGGATGGGGTGGGTGGCCCTTCTCCCCAAACTCCCTCCCTAGAGAGAGGCTTGTAGGACCTCTTGAGTATCCCTTACTCCCACTGCCAATGCCTCTAGCACTTAAGAGCAGTTCTGATACGTAGGAAGCAGTCAGAGGATGTTGACTCAATGGATGAATTCTGCTTCTGACTTTACAAGCTCTCCACTGTCTCCTTCTCTGCCGAGGCCCCCTCTTAGACTTGCCAGGATCAGCCAGTGGGAAGTAATATTTGAAAACCCAGCTCCACAATATAGAAGTGAGGGGTGAACAGGCAAATCAGATACATCACCCCTTTCTGTGTCCCTATGTCCCACTCGATTTCCCATCAGCAAGGCCAGCCGAGGAAGGGGCAGGTAGCAACACAGCCCAAATACCCCTTTCTACTCTCAGTCTAGGACCTACTGCCATTTCCCCACCAAGCCATGCTCCGCACCACCTCTGAGCCATCTTCCCAGGAAGCTGGCCCTTTCTCCTCCCAGCCCCCAGACTCTTCACTCTTCTTGAGGACTCCATTGAGTCACTTCTACCTCCACAAAGTCTCCCTCTCCTTCCTGCTGCCTCGGTTGTTCCCCATCACAGTGCCTCCCTGCAGGGCTGTCACACCTGATTTTTGTCTCTGTCCCCCACTGGCCTGTGAGCAGTGAGGACAAAACCCTGACTTATCTAATGTTCAGGAGTGGCATCCACTTCCTAGACAACAAGCCTCTGGAAACTCCATGAACTTTGATAAATGTCGTTAATTATGGAGGGGCTTCAGGCCTTTTGTTCACAGGGTCGCTATGAGTCATGCTTGATTAGAAGGCAATCAACAACAACATCTAATGTTCACAGTGTCGCCATGGTCATCTGATTTGATGACAACTAACAAAACAATATCAATGTCAACAACTAGAGCAGAGGTTCAAAAAGAGCCCTTTTTGGGAAACTGAACTCAGGGTTTCTAAACCTGGAGACTGGGATTCAATATCTGCATTTCATAACATGCTCAGAAATTCTGACACGGCTTCGCTGAGGTCCTAGCCTGTGCTTGGCACACCACTGAGAAATGCTCAGTGTTTACTGAAGGAATGAATGCACGATGTCCACCACTAAGTCCTTGACTGCCTTGGGCGTAGCTTCCTTCAGAGAACAGAGAACAGAGAACGAAGGCTGCTCGCAGGCAAGGGGTTAGCCGGGGTGCTGGGAGAGATCTACATGCCTACTGTGGTGTGCGGACTATCTACCTCCGGGGGTATGCTGTCCTCGGAGTCGGAGCTGTCCTCATAGACACTGCCGCCACCCCCGTCCAGGTTCATCTGCAGCAGCTGATCAATGGTGGCGTCCACGGCGCCGCTGTTGGCGCGCAGCACGCACTCGATGATATCGTAGTCCATGTTGGGGAACATGGTCTTGAAGTCGTCCATGGCCTGGTTGAACTCGAGCCTGCGCACCTGGCGGGCGGGCCGGCTGTTGTTGAGCTCCTGCGTGGTGGTGGCCCCCGCGCTGCCCCCGCCGCCCCGCGCGCCCGCGCCGCCACCGCCGCCACTGCTGCTCCGGCGGAACAGGCTGGTCATTTTGCGGAGCCGCTTCGGGAAAATGTTTCCAGCCGGCAGCAGGGTCCCTTCCCCCGGCTCCCTCCACCGTGCGCCCCTCCAGCCGTGGGCTCCGGACGCTCGCGCCCTCCGGCTGCTCCCCTGCGTCCTGGGCCCCTGGGCCAGAAGGGGATGGCCGGGGTCTCCGGTCAGGAGGCTACGCGCGCGGGTCCACTGGCGGCCCTCGCGGGGTGGTTCTCTCCAGGCGGCGGCATCCGGGCCTGGGCTGAGTCGGGACTGCACGGCTGGTCATCCACACCCCTTGGGCATCCTGGCACCGGCTCCACGGAGGCTTCCACCTGAAACACGGCGAAATCAAGTCAGTGATGGAGAAAACCCAACATTGAGCCCTGATGAAAGGTGGTTTAGGGAACTGGGAAACGCTGGGACGACCCTACCACCTCCAGGTGAAAGGAGCTTCATTTCCCTTTTCTCTCCAGCTGCAATAATGAAATGGCCAGTTCTCTGCCAGCACAGGAAGTACCAGTTAGCCAGGGCTGAATGTGTGCTAGCTATCATCCTAAACACTCATAACATCACCAGGACATAGGTGCTAGTATCCCCATTGCACAAATGGGGGTAACTCGGGCATAGATCCTGAGGAGGTGGAATGGTCATATCTGAAGCCAGGCTGTGTGGACCCACAGTCACACACACTGCCTACCAAAGGCTCCTGAGGACCTCACTGAGGAAGGCCTGAACAGGAAAAGCCATGTGCTGTCTCCCTGGCCTCCCACCACATTCAGTCTCTGCTTCCATCATCTCCCCACATCACAGCCCCACCGTGAGTGAAGGTTCACAGAGCGCAGTTTCCAGGAGAGTCACAGAGAAGCATGATTCCCTGGGGGCACCAGGAGCAACTAGCCTGAGAAACATGGCTCCATTCTGGAAGCCTTAGGCTGATAGAGGAGGCCCTGTTCCCACTAAAGGAACTCATGTCAGCCCCTTAAAACACAGTCCAGCTCTTGAGAAGCACCAACCCAACAGTGGAAAACACAGAGACTGGACATTGTGGAGTCTCTGACCTGCCTTCACCTCATCCAAGTGGCATGCCGATACTTTCATTAACTATACAGAGATTCAGATTTGCTTGTTTCAAAACACTGAGTGGCCCTAATATTACAACAAAATATTTGGGAAGTTTCTACTGGATCTCCATTTTTCTCAAAGCTATCTTCAGGAAATAGTTGTGGTTGTGGTTGTGTACTATACAGTCAAGGAGTTCTGGTGGCCTAGTGGCAAGAAGTTGTGCTGTAATCCTAAAACCATGCAGTTCAAATCCACCCGATGCTGGAGAATAACTAAGGGATGGGATTGAGGGCTGGACCTGGGCGGCCATAAGGCTTTGGCCTGAGAGAGGATAGGAGAGGTACTAGGGTTAAAGGTAGGTCAAAGGGGGCCTGGGAGGAGCAGTGAGGTCCCGGATGAAGAACGAGGCTAAAGGTCAGAATTGGGTTGACAAGACCTTGTCAGGGGAGGTGGGAGGGAAGCTGGGCCAACATGAGGCGGAGTTAGGGCATTTGGTGAAACTAAGATTGGGGTTTACGACTGGGTTGAGGGCTTGACCTTGCTGAGGTTCAGAGCAGGGATTCTGCGAGGAGGGAGCCCCGTAGAAACAAGGAACGGGGCTGAAAGCGATGTGGGTCAGGACGACAGTGATGATCGAAAGATGGGTTGAGGAAAAGAGTGGGAACAAGATCAAGAGCTGGGAAGAGAGCGAGGATATAAACAGCTGGGAGAGAGGACATCTGTCTGGTGTGACATCCAATACTGACACATCTATCTTCTCCTCTGAAGGTGACTTCAAGGAAACTGACAGTTGCTGCTGGAAACACAAGCAGTGTGCGGGGCACATCATTCACCCCTTAATCTCCGACTGTGGTCACTGCAAGCTACACCTGCATGCTGTCAATCACTGCGACTGTGATTCTTGGGTGAAGGAATGCTCAGAGAAGACAAACAGGAGCAGCTCGCAAGATGCGGGCCAAGCCTGCTCCCGAGACGGGGCCCCAGCCTGCTTCAAGATCATCCAGACCCCATGCTTTGAGCTCATCCCAGAGGAAGAGTATGTGGAACGCATCTGGTATGGATGGTGCAAAAGCTACAGGCCGGTCTCGGTGGCAGTGATCCATCACCCCATCCACCATGAGTTTGTAGATGACCTCAATGAAGAAGAGGAAGAAAGGAAGCCTCCCATCCCAACCCAGGTGGGGCCCACCACCAAGACCCTTGACACAACAACTGGCGCAGGCACTGGCACCACCACAGGGACCCCTGACTCAGCAGCTCCCATCACCATCTGGCGCTCAGACAGCCCCACAGAGAAAGGCCAGGGCAACAAGGTGATCAAGAAGGTAAAGAAGAAAAAGGACAAGGAGAAAGATGAGGAGTCATCAGACAAGGATAAGGCAAAGCTGAAGAAGAAAATCAAGAAGAACAAGGTGACTAAGAAGAAAAGCCCAGTGAAGTCGGAAAATTCACCTCCAGACTTAGGTCGAACGCTAAGCCCAAGAGAGCTGGCCAGGATGTCAGAGTCGAGCCCAGATAGCCGGGAAGACCTGGACAGCGAGGACAGCTACAGTGACCCCAGACGGGAGGAGCCCTCCAGTGAGGAGATGGTGGAGACAGTATCATCCAGGAAGAAAGAGAAGAGTGCCAACCAGAACAAGAAGTGCAATGGCAAGGCCTCCCAAGGCAAGAAGGTAACCAAGAGGAAATCTCCCCCAACTTCAGCTGAGGCCAGGGCAGCCACAGCAAAGAATAAACCCCATCAAGCCTGTAGCTGATCCCTTGCTGCTGGTCTCTCTCTCTGACTGGGCTACTTATGTGTGGGGAGCAGTTCTGGGCAGAGGGAGCCTATGGGCTGGGGCTATGGGGTTTCTCAAGGGTGATCTAGCTTTCAATGAAGTTCACAGAACAGTGGGCAGAACCTTTTACTGTCCTGTTGGTTGGAAGGTGAGGGACTACTAGCCCTGTGTTTACTAACTGCTCTTGGACCAGGATATGTCATGTTAATGTGGGTTAGGGGTAGGAGGGCTTTCCTCAACTGGGAGCCTGGTCTCTGTCAGTTCCTCTTCAGGGATAGGCAGTGCTGTCTGCAATACCCACAATAAAGTCAACGTTATAACCCCCCCAAAAAAAATATCCACCAGATGCTTTGCTGGAGAAGGAGGAGCAATCCCCTCCTGTGTCAGTTGGATCTGATTCAACAGTGTACAACAAGGGGAAAAAAATAATATGAAATGTTTAAAAAATACAGAGTTGGAACCAACCCATGGATCTGATTCAACAGTGTACAACAAGGGGAAAAAAATAATATGAAATGTTTAAAAAATACAGAGTTGGAACCAACCCATAGCTGACACTCTGGCAGGTTTTCAGAGCAGTAACTACACGGGAGGAGACTAATAGCACATCCTTCTCCCATGGAGCAGCTGGTGGCCTTGAACTGCATTCCTTAGGGACTGCAGGACAACTTCTTGCCACTAGGCCACCAGAGCTCCCTTCAGGAACCATATCCATTATAAACTCTGCTCTTGTCCCAACAAGTCCAGCCCCCTACTCCAGCACAGCACGCCTGAGGAAGCTGTATGGACAGGACTGGAAATCAAGCACAATCTGGACCAAAATCTGTGGTCGGACATTGTCTGGTCAGCTCAGAACCCAGCAGGTAAATCATGTCATCTTAGCATTTCTGTTAGTGTAAGCAACTGAGAACTGACTGCATCAGAAAACATCCAGCTCTGATTTTATCATGTGCATATGAGATGTATAGTAATTGTTAGTCATAGGAAAGTGGCCACTGTATTTTAAGAGGCTTTCCTATCAAGGAAGCCTGAAGTTTGACGAAACAGGTGCGAAGGAGATTCTGCTTCACAGTGACCCAATTTTTCCAGGGCTTGGGGGGGGGGTGTCTTGGATAATTTCAGTGGACAAAGAAATACTCTTGTGAGAAAATTAATATAATGTGTTTTCTTGCTTTGATTCTACTAGCTAAACCAGCTGATGGTGAGAAAATCAGACCAGAGGGGCTTATGGGGCCAGTGAGGGACTCACCCTCACGCCAGGGTCTGAAGAGTCCTTACTGCTGTTGATGACCTCTCACACTTTAAGCCAGTCTTTCAGTTCCAAAATGATACTTCCTATTCCCCATCTCACCCCTGGCTAGTGGTTTAAAGTATCTCCAATTCCCTGAGGAGTAGACACTACTGAAGAAATGTGGGCCCAGTCTGACCTCTGGACACTGATGTTCCAAAACTATTAGCCCTCCTGCCCTGGAGAAAGTCCCCTGACATTCTGGTGTAAGTATACATATGCATCTAGTACTTCTCCTGTGCAGATACTCCCAAACGTCTGAAACGTAAACCAGAATTTATGAGCAAGCCGTAAATTCTACTATCAACTTGTTTTTCCCACTTGATTCTATCTTGTTTCCATCTTCTCATGTCAGTACATATAGATCTACTTCATCGTCTTAATGCCTGAGTGGTATTCTGGTGTCTGAGTGAAGTGTGATTTACTATCGACTGACTCCCTTCCTCCCTCCCTCCCATCTCTTCCCAGATGAGCAAGTCACAGCCCAGAGAAGCCAAAGCCAAGGAGACACAGAAGGGTGTCTGCAAATGAGCCTTTCAAGACTTCTGTCAAGAGAATGAAGCAGGGAGGCAACCAAGCATGACATGGCTTCTTACAGCTGGCTCCAGACACCCCAACAGTCCCCCCACCCCAGCCACCTCCCACTAACCAGACACCCCAACAGTCCCCCCCCCCCAGCCACCTCCCACTAACCAGACACCCCAACAGTCCCCCACCCCCCACCCACCTCCCACCAGACACCCCAACAGTCCCCCACCCTAGCCACCTCCCACCAACCAGGTACCCCAACAGTCCCCACCCCAGTAACCTCCCACCAGTCACCCCAACAATCCCCCACCCCAGTTACCTCCCACCAGACACCCCAACAGTCTCCCCACCCCCACCTA